AACCCTAATTATCTCCCAAACTATAAATGTTGGGTATAGGACATATAGGATATAAAAGATGTAAAATGAGACACCGAAGACGACTAAGTAATAAAATATGGGGGGTGCCATTTAAAAAAATGAAGATATGGTGTTTCCAAATTTCGAAAAGTTAACGTGCCGTAGTAAAATGACCAAACGTTCTAGACAGCCGTACTCGGCACCAAAACATACTCCATCATGTTGCTTAAGCACGTTCTGAATCCTAAATTAATATCCCAAAAATCGAGTGTTCTCTGATTTTTTGAACAAATGTCTGTTGGAGCAGATTTTTCTAGAAAAATTTGAATAACTCGAGAACGGCCGAATCAAATTGCAAAAAGTAAAGTTATTCATAAACCTTGAAAACAGATAAATCCAAATATGTAAAAATATATAGGGTGTTCCATTTCAAAAAATAAAGTAGGTGGCGACCTCCGGTATAACCGGAAGTGCTAGAAATCTGAAAATATTTTAGTCGAAGAGAACGCAATTAATAATACTTAAATCTGAATTTTCAAATTTTTGTATTGGCCAGAACCCTGTAAAGTTCTAATGGACGGTCGTCGTGGATGACCCTGTATAAGTTAGAATATAAACAAATAGAATTAAAAAGGTAAAAAAACACTACAAACTTACAATTCTTAAAGAGTTCTCTAATTAATAAAAATAGAGTCGTTTGTCCGTTATAAAGATGGCTCAGATAAAAAACCGGTCCTTTTTTTTGTGTTATTTTTCGATAACATACGCTTCTTCGGTAATTGTTGGTTAAGCAAAATATGTACTTTCAAAGAAGTACCTCACTTACATCAGTTCCACAGTAGTAGATACACATAACCTTCAAGATCTATGGCTATGATGGTTGCCATGCTCATCGTTATGGGTAAAGGTAAAAAGATATATAGGTTAACGATGAAATCTTTTATTTATTTTTGCAATCACACCCTTACTCGAGTGCAAGACGGACTGCATCGTCTTGCACTCGAGTAAGGCTGTGTCTAACATTGCTCCCTTCCAAAGTGTCGAACTGCTGCCCGCGACCCCATCCTTCATAGTTCCTACTGATTGTAGTCTTATGGTTACTAACGCCACTTCCTGAATGTGTAGGTTAAGTGGTGGTAAATTTAACATGACTTCCATGGTCGCGGTGGGAGTTGATCACAGCGCACCTGTGACATACAGACAATCAATAAACAATCATTGTGGACCGACCTGTATCCTTTTTCAATTAACTTTCACCACGATAAACCTGGAGACCTTAATTGCCAAATGTCCAAAGCGAAGCAACTCACGCAATAACCTTCTCTAAGACGATTGGTATTTACCGGCCATTTTGAAAAGTTTTAGAAATTGTGAATATATATTTTTATAATATAAAAAGCATGAGCAAATAGTAGTGAATGAACAAAATGTTTGAAATTAATTGCATCATAATGAAAAAAAATCTTGAAAACGCATTTATTTTTTCGCGTCCAAATGTATCTCCCTCCCTTAAACTGGGTACATGGATTACTTTTTGTAATTGTATCAATAAAAAGTAATATCCAATTACCCCATTGAAAATTGAGCGCCGCGCCTAGTTATGTTGTTTCTGTGGTTACTGAGCGGCAAAAACATTACACTACACGTACAGTTACTATCACAAATGTAATAATCTTAAATAAAAGAAGCTTGGTTCGTTTTTTTTCGCCTTTTTTAAGACAAGTATACAGGCTGTCTTACGTAACTGGTTCGTTAGAACTTTTTTTAGGTTCCACTATTCGTACAGTTTTGAAATTTTAGCAGCATGAGATGTTCATTCGGAACTTTTGATCTAAAATATTTTCAAGATAGCTGCCTACTTCCGGTAGACCGTAAGTCCTACCGGAAGTAGACCATAACTTCGTTATTTTAAATGGAATGCTATAGTTTTTATTACACCTTTTAATTACAAGTAAAAAAATATGTTCACTTTTATAAAAGTTATTCGTACCTAGCGTCTTTTGTTTTCGAGTTTGATTTAAAATTTTTTTTTTGGCAAATTTCACCATACTCTTTAAAACCCCATATCCTAGCAAACGTTCATTCAAAAAAGCTGTAAATTGGCACGATTACTGTTTAGATACTGTTAAATAGACTGTCATTTGTTGTATCAGAGTATCTTATACTGCATGGTCAAAAACTGAATTACCGTTTCTCCCGGGTCAAAGTCGAAAATTTTAAATGGAATTGTAAAAGGTTCTTAGTTGTTGTATTTATTTAATGAAAAATACATAATATGGTGTCGACAGTTTTATTACTTTTTTTTATTTACGTGTTAACATTACGATACTCAATACATAACTGCTACTTATTAATTCTATTCTAACTTATTACCTATAATGCTTAATCATCGCATTTTTGCACATGTTCCAATTTCACTCGCGTTCACTAACCTTTTATCTGTAATCAATTTACGCATTGTGCATTACAGAATCCCACATATTTTATTAGCCTGCCACAAAGAGAATTTAATTTTCTACAAATTATCTATAGACTATAAACATTCCTATACCTATTTATTATAGTTTCTCTCATATTGGAAAATATATCAAAACATGCAGGAAATGCCGGTAACCGTTTGTATTTTTATTAGAAAGCCACGACAAAAATTAGCTTTGGATACAAAATATAAATTTAGAATATAAATTTTTTATTAAATTTAATTTGAAAATGCAATAAAATACAATAAAATATTTACTTCGTTATCTTCATCACTGATGACCAGAAATATACGGTTTCTTTTGGTCTCGATATGTCCACAACTAAGAAAATCTGTATCAATTTTTTGGAATTTTTTCTTCGTGATGGGCGTTAGGTTTGTTTAGGCATCTCTCATTAAGTGTTCGACACGTCCTGTAGAAAAGTTTATTACATTTGCCATCAATACAAAATAAATTTCAAATATTGGCGTTGGAATAATTTGCTATGATGTTCAACATTACATCCATCGTTAAATGTAAATGTAAAATGTCGACCAAAAACTGTCAAAATTCCACGGCTCTCTAATAAAGAAGCTTGCATTCCGTGCATGTTTTGATAAATTTCCCAATCTGATGGAAACTACAATAAATAGGTATGGGGTTGTTTGGAGATCATTTGTTGGGAATTAAACTACCTTCCTGACAGGCTAAAAAAATATGGGGCGTTCTATTTAAAATTTTCTACTTTCTCGCTAATGAATATGGAGAAACGGTAATTCAATTGTTGACCATGCTGTATAAGATAGTAAAATACAGCCATAATTGTGCCAATGTAGATCTTTTTTGAATGAATGTTGGCTGAGATATGGAGTTATAAAGAGCATGGTGAAATTTACCAAAAATAGCTGAAAACCAAAATAACTTGAAAACGAAAAACGTTAGGTACCAACCAGTGTTGCCACATGCAAGAAAATAAATGTACCAAAATTCGTACTGGAAATGAAAAAAATGTACTAAATTGACAGAGAAAATTGAGGAGACTTTTTTTTTAGTAATAAGGTAAAACAAAACTTGCAAGAAGTACTGAAAATTACGACTGGATAAATTGTGGTAAGATCAGAAACGGTCAAAAAAAGCATTCCCTAAAAATGTACTGATTTCATTACAATTGTACCGATTAAAAATTTTGTACTGAATTGCTATTTTCACGTACTTTATCCATAAAATCGTACTGAATTCAGTACAATTGTACCAAAACGGCAACACTGATACCAATGACTTTTATCAAAGTCACCCTATTTTTGTACGTACAATTAAACGGTGTAATAAAAACTATAGCATTCCATTTAAAGTAACAAAGTTATGGTCTACTTTCGGTAGACTGGAAGTTGCGGCTATCTTAAAAATATTTTAGATCAAAAGTTCAGAATGAACAATCCATGCTACCAAAATTTCAAACCTCTACGAATAGTGGAGTCTGAAAAAGTTCTAACGAACCAGTTACGTGAGAATATCTGTATAAAATCTTATTATGTAATATTAGCCTGTATCGAAACATATTTCCGAACACTTAAGTTTCTTAGTTGTGTACTCAAACTCGGTTCGGATTTTTAATGTCACCTTGTTTAAATGTGATTAAGAATAACTTAAGCGGTTGTTAACGCCGGTTAAATCTTTATTTAAGCCTTCCGCAACGGTTTTTTAATAAATTCCGTGTTCCCATTTGTTGCATATTAAATGTATTCTGTAACACTTTATTGTGTATTGTATATGACTAATTTGCAAAATAATATAAAGAATGAGTATAATTTGATATTTTTTAGATAATAGAAGTCGTGTTAAGATTCGTTAGAAATAAGCTGCTTTGACAGACAAACTTGGTTTTATTATCAATTTATATTTTATGTAATACACTGTTTTTGCTCTCTTTATATCTGTATTATACAAAGATAAAAGTAGGTTGATCAATGACGTCAATCACCAACTATAGAACTTCAAATAAGCCGAAATTTCTACTGGCGGCATCTAATTTTAATTTGTTAAAATACACATTTTGACAGTGTTCAAACTGTTCAAACCAATGTCATACCAAATATCTGGAAACTCAAACTTAATCATTAATATGTTAGCAAATAGTAGCTGTTTTCACGTTTCACTCAGTTTTTGGGAATTCGTACTTATTTTCCTTTTGTACATTAAGAAGTGCAACTGACAAGAATGTTGTCGAGTCATCCTCACTATTTATATTATGTTGCTAATTAGCCCAATACCAATTTCCTTGAGTAATTGTTTTAATTTTTGTAATTAAAGAAAATATAGTAAAATACAGTATAATGCATCAAGGATGGGGAGCGGATATATGTACTATTCCTCATTAATGAAATGATTCAAAATGTAACCATTGATTTCTAAATTTTGGAAACATAGCAGTTAATGAACTGTAATTTCACCAATCATTAGTAACTCAAAAACCATATCAAATGAAATGCGGCGAACTGTTGTCTATGCTTAAACTTACGATTTGTGTTATCTTATTTTTAGTTATGCGAGCGGCGGTGGCCCAGCCTCACGTAGAGATTTGCCACCAGGTCCGGGGCGTCGATATTAAAAGCGGTGTTTTTTAACCGCTTATTCATTAGTTTTAACATACATTAATCGTATATAACATTATTATTAATTATTGTCATCGCAGTATTGCGGTTTATGTTCAATATTCAATTACAATATTATACATATAAAATGTGTATGGGTAGTCAAGTGTATGCTTTGTAGAATATCTTTGATATATTTCATTTTATCAAAAAACCCAAACCTTTATTCTGTGGGCAATTTAAGAAGAACGTTTAAATCGTCAATAAAAACTAAGCTTAAAGCGGTTTTATTTTAAGTGATACTCTGTAGTTGTTACTCGCGGGTAAAGTGAAGAAGGTGTAAATATGAAGAGTGCGTTTTTTAAGAATCGGTTGTTAGAAAAAAAATCATCATCGATTCGGAGATACGAACCGTTCGAAAGTGTTCATCGTTAAGCGTCTTTATCGCCATATTTCAGGTGAGAACGTTATCTAAAAAACACGAATTGTCATTGTGCGAAATTAATGTAAAAAACGTGGTAATATTTAAATGAGTAAATAGTTCACTTTTGAAGATATCGGTTGCTACCTGTTTATATTTTTAAGATAACTGGAATTTTATCGATGGGGTAGCTTTTGCGGATTATGTTTGTAAAATAAATAAAAAAAAATAGATATTCATTTGAAAAGTTAATTAGAAGAACTAATTGTACGTATTTTTCAGGTAATTACTGAACGTATGGTTTTGTATGGCATCAATGTTGGCTATTGGAATTATAAAAACCATTCAATTAAAAGGTAAGCTTATAAACAATTATAGTATAGTAGAGTGACTCACTATAAAGCCTAATAATTCCATGACTTATTGATATATAAACTTTTACACCTCATGAAGCAAAAACTGTTATTTTATAATTAATTTCATAAATAATTAGGTACAATTCGAAAGCAGCTTTTTATGTAATATGATCAAAATTATAATCAGTATGTACTTTTAGCTGTTGGTATTGGATAACAGATATAGCCAAATAAATATTCTTACAGTTAAAAATACAGGGTGGCTCAGTTTTTAATCGGGGAACTTTACTAGGATGTAGTACTTGCCAAAATAACACAAGTTTTTTTATATAAACGTAGGGTCGCAGCTCGTTTGTTTTCGAGCTATGAGCTGTCAAGGTTGAGCCAAAAATTTACATTTTGTTATGTATTTCGGCTGTAAGTAAAATCTTAAACTTCCCTAGCGCTCTCTAAGGGGATGAAATTCACCACCCCCTTGATTTTTTTATGAGATCTTTTTAATGGGTTGTGAAGCTTATTCTTTAGTGGTACTGTTTTGTCTCTTTAGTATTTTCCTTAAGGCTAATAGTTTCCGTGTAAAAAAATAAAATATCGTGCCATGTACCGCTATGTGCCGTCATGTAGGGCTTGCAATACCGGATCAAAATCTCAATAGCGGTATCCGGTATTAATATAAAAAAGTTTACTCACTAAATATATCTATTTGTAAGAATTTTCCCCCTCTGCGGCGTCACCTCTACTAACAACAGGTTAATTCCTACTATATTTTTAGATTGGCAACAAAGCATAAGATACAGAATCTGAGAAGATAATCAAAAAATTGAAAGATATTAGGAATCTGTACAACGTACCAATAAACTTAAAGGTCTGGATAACATTATTGTTTTGTTGTCTTTCACTTGGTCCAAAGGTTCAACTTCACCGCCGCGTCAAAAAATGAAATTACACTTCATCATTCGAAGCTCTGTGGAAGTCTTTCGAATTCCTGCTTTAGACTTATCATACTACTGTTATACTTGGTGGGACACTACACGAATCAAACTGACCTGAAAGACCATTATGGACTAAATACTCCAAAAATAGTTGTATGCAGAGAGTATTTTATTGTTGGCTAGGTATGACAAATTTATTGAAAACGAACATTAAGTTGTCGTCATCAAAGGTTGAGTCTTCGTTATCTTCAACATTCTGTCAGAGTGCAAAATGATATTTCTTGTAGATGGTATTCACACTGATCAAAAAATGTCACTTGAAAAAATGAGGTTAGTACGGACATAAGATAGATAACAAATTTCTGTTTGGTCAACATCATTTTCCAGCACAGCTTTAAACAAACACGGCCGTTTTCAATCGGTCGCATCCGGCTAGTATTTTTTTAATGAAACGTCAAAAAATGTCACTTGAAAATGTAAATTTAGAACGGACAGAAAATAGATAACAAACACGAATCCTCTACGTCATTTTCCAGCACAACTTCAAACTAGCACGGTCGTTTTCGAAGATATCGGCCACCCCCGGCCATCGAGGGCGCTAAATAAAAGTAATACCGAAATACCGGTATTTTGCCATCAATACCGGTTTTTAATACTGGACAAGAATTCTCCGGGATCCCGGTATTGCAAGCTCTATCGTCATGTTTAGCTAAAATTATTCTAAAAGTTTAGCTTTTAGCATTTACTGTGAATCCTCATAATTGTTGATGATTATTAATAATTTTTGACTATTATTAAGCAATAGTATCAATTTTTTAATATTGTTTAAAACAACGTAATTTGTTCAGGCAAACATTCATCTTCAAACATTCACAATTAATTGGTGTTATTTAGTTAGTACTAGATCCTAGTATTATTATTGCTGCCGGGCTGAAGGGAGCGGCCCCTCTCGTTACCGCGACCTATAAGATCTATTGTAACTTTAGCCCTCCAAAGGTTTAGGGCAAATGAAAATCCTTGATGAGGACCTTCAGATGAGGACCTTAGATCCCCTTTGCTTTTAGTATTGGCCTGAGGTCTTGAACCTTTATGTCGGTAGGTAACAAGGAAGTTTTACCGAAAATGTTGTGTCTTAGACGGCCTCTGGCTACGCAATTGCACAGTATATGTTCAGCAGTTTCTGACTCGTCGTTGCATAGTCGACAAGTTTGAACCTGAGCTTGTCCAATGTAGAAGAGGTGGTATTTTAGGGGCGCATGGCCGGTCAGATAGCCTGAGAGCGTCCTTAGATCCCCTTTGCTGAGGCATAAAACCTCTTTGGTTTTGTTTTGCGACGGAGTTATCATACTTCGCTTGTCTGTGACCTGGACGTTCTTTCCAGCGTAAGGCTACTTTTGAAACCTCCCAGTTGATTATTTGTTTTAGGTGGCTTTTTTGTAGTCCACAACCAGGTTGGGATCCAATGAAGTTCGCTGCCTCTTTGACCAGCTTGTCCGCCTTCTCATTGCCCTCAATGTTGCTGTGACCTGGAACCCACCATAGGGTAACATTACCTCTAGCGAGTTCTCTCAGGTTGCTGGTACACTCTCTGATCAGTGCGGAGTCACACGTGTAGGCCTGAATTGCCTTTAAGGCGGCCCGACTGGCTGTGATCTGCGTACTTTTCAACATACTATACACCACTTGATTGTCAACTGATGTATGTCTTTTACGTTTAGAGCCTTCTCTATGGGTTCATATGAGGTGCTATCAAACGCACCCTCTATGTCTATGAAAGCACATAGGGCTATCTCTTTGGTTGCAATTGCCTCCTCTAATGTGGTAGTCAAAGCATGGAGGCGTTCAAAGCGGTAATTGTTGATTTTGCTTTCTGGTAAGCATGTTGGCTAGGGTGGAGTGGATTAGTGACAAGCACTCCATTCCTAAGGTATTGATCGATTACCTTTTCCATCCCTTTGAGGAGAAATGAAGTTAGGCTAATTGGTCTGTATGCCTTGGGGTCCGCGTTTGAACGCCTACCACCTTTAGGTATGAAGACCACCTTTACTTTCCTCCATAGAGTGGGTATACAGCGTGTCCCGTATCTTCCGCATCAGAGCATTATACGGTTGTAGGATACATTATTCTGAAGCGATCTTTCTAATAAAATTTTTTCGAAATGTTTATAATAACCGCACGGGAACTGTTTAAAGGAACTGTTTTTCCTCCAATCAGCAGATCGCAAATCAGACTCAGGTAATCGGTGCCACCCTCGGCCGGTTCGCTACGCCGATGATAACTCGTTTCCCACGTGTACTCACCAATAGATTCGTCATGGAAAGAGAAATAAACTTTTTCGATGAATCAAAGTCGTCCGTTATTGGTCGTCGTTAAACAGTTCCCGTGCGGTTATTATAAACATTTCGAAAAAAATTTATTAGAAAGATCGCTTCAGAATAATGTATTCTACAACCGTATAATGCTCTGATGCGGAAGATACGGGACACGCTGTATAGCTAAAGTTGTAGCTAGCTATATATAGGGATATTATTACTGGGAGGAGGTCTTCTAAGCCTTTTTGCAGAAAAATAGCCAGAATTCCATCTCCTCCAGGCGATTTTAGGGGCTTGAAATTAGAAATAGCCCAACTTACTCTGTTGGTTGTGAAAATGTTCCCAGCTATGCTGCGAACCCTACCTGATGGACGGGTTATGTCCATTACTTCAGGGTCGGCATCTGCGTGGGGGCAGACTTTTGAGGAAGGAAAGTGTGTACTCAGTATATACTCAGTGTATTTACCATCTTGTTTGCGTAGGTGGCCTAGATAAGTGTTGTGATCTTTTGCCAAAATCTTATGCAGACGAGCAACTGTAGGCGTATTGTCTATGCCTTCACAGAAGCTGCGCCAGGCTTTTCTTTTGGCTTTGCGGATAGCCAAGTTATATTCCGTTAGGGCTTTCCTATAGAGGTCCCATGTTTGCTCGAGTTTGGAATTCCTGACTTTATTATATAGTCTTCTAATCATGACTCGCTGTTTTTCAAGGTCCTTATTCCATCAATGCACTAGATCCTAGTAAGTGCACAACTTCCATAGCCAGCTATAAAGAAAATTCTTTTTCAATAATAGTAGCGCTTTACAGTACAATGTAGCATATTTTATTTTTTTACGCTAAAATTATTATCTTTAAGGAAAAAACTAAAGAGACAAACAAGTACCAATAATTAATAATGAATAAGCTTTACAACCCATATTTTTTTATGTTAATATTCTATGGCGTTAAAAAGTTGTTATAAAAAAATCAAAGGGGTTGCGAACTTCATCCCCTTAGAGGGCGCTAGGGAAATTTAAAGTATGGTTGAACATAAGGTATTAACCAGTAGTACATCATACAAAATTTCAAATTCTACGGTTTACTTATACCCGAAATAAAAGATAAAATGTAAATTTTTGGCTCAACTTTCACAGAAAAATTTGTGTTATTTTGGCAAGTACTATGTCCTAGCAAAGTTTCCCGATTAAAAACTGAACCACTTTGAATAGATTTTGAACCATTTTCAATATTTACCATTTATACCAAAATAGTTTTCTTTAATTGAATATAAATATATCCACTAATATCTGTTATACCTACTTTCTAAAAATGGCTTTGATAAATGTTAATTATCAATTATGTCATGAATAATGAACGGGGAATGTGTTGCTTATTTCTTAGAAAGCATTCTAATGTTATTCTCTTCTTTTTGTACAGGTGAAAACAAAATGGTGTTTTTGGTTATGGAGGTTATATTTAGGGTGTATTATACCCACACGATAAGCTTCACAAAATTTGAACTGCTATATATGTATAAGCGATGGTGAAATGGCAGCGTCAGAAGTGTTCAAATGAGTATTGAAATAGAGAGGTTAAGAGAGGAAAGACAATGGTGGATGTTTGAGAATTGTTGTACGCTGATTTTTGATGATACAAGAAAATGAATCTCCTCTTGGTGAGTATGCAAGTATTTCAGGGAAGTGCAACAAAGCATATTATATGTCACATATGTAGCCAGATATCTGCAATATATCGAAACCGTGGTAATTATTTAATTATTACATTTAAACTATTAATATTAATGACTTTTGTTGTTTGTTTTTGGACAGACAAAACACTGGTGATATATGTTACACTACCAGTGCAGAATACTATCAGTACATTAACAAGAGGAATGAAAAATAGCTGTGACAGCCATTTGATTCCACTTTTTTGGCAAGTATAGATGTTACTTTCAATATCTTCGTATAATAGTATTCTTGTTATAACTATATAACTATAGAAATAAGTGCGTGATTTTTTCATTATTTCTACGGTCACTACTGTATAGAAATTTGCTTTTGTAATCTTAGATTAACTTTATCTCTCTTCTTTAATTAATTTATTGACGTATGATGTGTATAGTTATCGAATATGTATACATCAATATTACCCTTCTCTATGTTTAAATCAAATTTAAAATTTTTTCTGGGTGCCTTTCCTTGTGAGATCATAAAAGTAGTAACTACTTTAATATTCTAGCTCTCTTCAGCAAATGTTATTTAGCATGTTGATCTAAATATCTAGAATTCTAATTTTGGATAAAAAAATGCTTTTTGTATGTTGAATTTAGCAACATAGAGTGACTGAAGGAAAATTAACTAAAATTAATTAGTTTCTAGGAATTCTCGTTTTAAGAGTGTACTTTGATACATCTTACATATTTACGTATATCTTATATCTTGTTTATATGTTCAAATCTGGGCGTAGATATTTTCTATCTGAATTTCGTTCTCTGCTATAACACCTATGGCGGCAGGAAAGAAATTAATATGTGTAACCATACTGAACTTATTTAGTTCTTACTAGAACCTTACTAGAACTTACTTTATTCTTTTATACTTAACCTGCTTCAAACCCTTATCTCTAACAATAGACAATTTCATACATGTAAATACATCAATAGACTACAATGAGTACTTTGGAGTTATCAAAGATAATATTTATTGCACCCCATCCCAGATGTGTAACATTTTCCCAAAAAGTAATTAAATGAAGTTTCTTTTAAATTAAAAAGCCATAGAGACCTTATTTACTATAACAGATTACGAATGAAACTATTCTGTTTGTTGTAATAATACATCTTAAACCTAACTATTCCGTAACAATAACTAAAAAATTAAATTCCTCCCTTATTTAGTTTTTACTTCTTTCTTAGATCTAATTTTGTCGCTTCCATTGCATTTTCCAATCCATCGCATTTTCCATCTCCTTCTTTACTTGGTCTTGTTCATTGGGGTCCAATTTTCCAACGATTTTCTCATACAATATGTCCCATTTAATTCCATTCTAATATTTGCATCGTTGTCATGATGTTTTATCTTTTTGATTGGCAACTTATCTTTATTTTTTTACCTAGTATACTCCTCTGCGTTTTATTCTGGGTAGTTATGATTCTATCCTCTATTTTTCTTGTTATTACTGGTGGAACGGATATCCGGTAACTATCCGGCCGGATACCGGATAGTTACCAAATATCCGGCTTTGGCCGGATATTAAAAACCTATCACTTGGTACTCCACTATTCACAGGAATTAGTATCTCTTTTAGGTGTTGGACACTGCAGATAATGCTCAAATTCAACCCCAATAGGACTTTTTTCATTGAATACAATTTTATTTATATCAGGTTTGTCATTAGCAACCTCATTATAACAATCCCAATACGATATATAAAATCTCTTGTTGCACTTTTGTCTAGTTTTTTTCTCTTCGCTTGTAATTCATCATCACATTCATTACTAACAGACCTGTCGCTGTTATTACTTTCGATTATTAATTAAAGTATTCTATTTTTAATGCAAAAAGCCGTTTTGAAAAATCACTTTCAGTTCTTGAGAAATAAATTTTTTAAATGGTCGACAATTGTTCCGAATTTTGCAATTTGCGCCGATTTAGTTTTAAAAATTCGTATAAAATCCATTTCTTGGAATATGAATTTGAAAATTACCCAAAGTGTTAATAAGAGTGTACTCTTTCCAATGAACCAACACGTTTTGAAAAATAACTTTTAATTTTGAGAATACAATATTTGAAGTTTAGAGAAAATTTTTTAAATGATCGACAATTTTTTCGAATTTTGCAATTTGCGCCGATTAAGTTTTAAAAATTCGTATAAAATTCATTTCTTGGGATATGAGTTTGAAACTTTGTCAAAATGTTAATAAAAGTGTCCTCTTTCCAATGGACCAACACGTTTTGAAAAATAAGTTTTCGTTTTTGTGAAAATAATATTTGAAGTTTTGATAAATTTTCGATGTTCCAATTTTCATCAATAACTTTCAAAATTCGCTATAATATTAATTTCTTGAAGGATCCTTGTGGAAATATCGCCAATTATTAATTAAAGTATCCTCTTTTTAGAGTTGCTTCGTTAGTTAAATCAGCATCAAAAAAGTTCATTTTGTATCTTAATATTCGATAATTCGCTAATTTGCCGAGAAGCGTTAGAACATACACGAACACAAACGAGTTCGTTCGTTCCTGTTTGGTTCCTCATACAAATTATGCTAGCGTAAACGAACTAATTCACCATTCGCTTCTGTTCGCTCTAATTTAAACGCACCATTAGAGACCATGTTTGTGACTCTTACGTCAACACTGGAGTTATACACATATCAAACACTTTTCTCTTTGTTTCTGTTTTATTTAACTTTGAATGCTATTTTAAGCGAAAAGAAATTGTGTGCTCTGAATATAAATAATCTTCTACATAAGCAATATAATTATTAATACATATTGGAATTTCTTCTGTATTTGATATTATTTTGGTCTTTTGCAGGTTTATGTTTATACCAGCGTTATAAAGCTCGTTTATCTGATTGTTTAACTATAATTTTCAAATAAGAGAATGTCTTCTGGAAATTACATCCCTATTTCTTTTTCCAGAAAATTTAGACCTTTCGTTTCTTGTTTCTCACCCAAATGCGCCCATAATAGAATTTTCTGCTGTTCTTCTTTAAATAATGTTAGCAAATAGATGCTGAATTAATCAAACTCACTTGCTCACAAAATCATAAAAAATGATTTTCTTAGGTTTTTAATAAGTAAACTTTAATAAGTAAATTTATTTCTTTTAAGGATGCTATTATCGGAACATATCATGGATGAAACGAAGAAACAGTATGTGGCTCCCCATTGACCATCGATCTTTAACACGTGATTCAACAGCTTTTTTGTTGAGGATAGTAGCTGTCCATGATGGTGATATAAATACCAGTCATTGATTGAGCTGTATTTTCGGCTACTGAAGAACGGTTTCCAGATGATAAATCAAAGCTTTAAGATTGTTAGTATTCACTGCCAAAATTTTATTGGTACTGAAGAGTATGATATGGAGGAAGAAGAACAAAGTTGTTGATGAACAATACTTATCATTTATGGTCACAGCCTAAACATATGCTTTAATTGATCCAAAAAATTTCAATGTTGCATTTATAATAAAATATTTTCAAGACACACATTGTTTGGTTTCCATTTTTGAAAAGCACCAATGAAAATTACTACTAAATGTAAATAAATTACTGCCGATTTGAATAGGCGTTATTGCATTTTGCAATTGGTGCCATATTGGTGACTTACTAACAAATTCTTTTCTAAAATTCGAACCGAAATACCATGCGTTTAATTAGGTCTTGTATACAGGTGTTCCGTATCTTCCGCAGCAAAGCATTACATAGTTAAAGGATACATTATTCTGAAGCGATTTTACTAATAAATTTTTTTCGAAATGTTTATAATAACCGCACGGGAACTGTTTAAAGTCGTCCAATAGGAGATCGTAAATCAGGCCCGGGAAATCGGCCCGACCTATCGCCGCCGCCGGTCCGCCGCTGCCGTTCTAAACTCGTTTCGCACGTGTTCATTTCTCTTTCCTTGAATCGCTATTGGACGAATTTTAACAGATCCCGTGCAGTAATTATAAACATTTCGAAAATATTTTATTAGAAAAATCACTTCAGAATAATGTATCCTTCAACCGTATAAAGTTCTGATGCGGAAGATACGAGACACCTATATACATATATGATGATTTATGAATAAGAGAATTAATATATTAGTGTTTGCGGGTTGTATATAAAAGTGTAAAAAATATGAAAATTAACTTCACTAATCTTGGTAAGTTAATGAGATTGTGGTACATGACTATTAAAAGACAGACTATGTAAATGTGATGTATGTATGTATGTAGGAAAGGGGAGGGTATGCTTCCGCATACAGCACCTAGGCCCCAACGGGCCCCTTGTACATCCTCCTGCACTCTCTCCGGCTACATTAACCAGCCTAAGGAATTTCCGAAGGATAGGATACAGCTCAGAGGTGTGTTCCTGATGCTGCCATCCGCGGTCGGCCATTCCTCTTCGAAGTCTCTTATGTGTCGGACCGGCTCCTCGCTCTTTTCACAGAGGCGACAGAAAGGACTAACAGCAAACTTAAGGTTATAACGATGCTTGTTTACCTTACAGTGACCCGTGACAAGTCCCGTTACAGTTCGTAGAGCGTTTCTACCAAGCCTTACGAAAGATAAGGCTGCTTCTGCTGAGGGATAATGTAATACTTGTTACGTTTTGGTTATTTAATAAACTGTTTTTATTATATTTTAATTGCTTTATTAAACTGTACCATTACAGGCATTACAACTGGTTACAACTCTATTGCAAGAAACTGATTGAAACTGATGTCAATGTCGCCATGACACTTGCACTGGTGCTCACTTCATGGTTACGCGACAGTGCTGACAACTTATAAAACTATTTTATATCTTAATATATAACATCTCCCTTCTTTTGAAAGACTGAACAAAGTTAAACAATGTTACTATAAACTAAACATTCTACTGCTATTATTATACTTAAACTAAACTTACAATTTATTAATTTATTTAACATAGTCGCTCAAATAAGTAGGAGTTTTTCGAATGCGAACAGGTCTACTTTCACTTTGGGTATTATTAGTACTTTTGGGTAAAGATAGATCAGGAGTTTCCGAAACATCGTTATTGTTAATGACAGGATTGTTATTGTTAGTAATCAAAGGTTTATTAAGATTGTAATAATGTTCAAAAACGTTGTCATAAACTTCCCTATCTATATACGGCTTGTTATCTTTAAATTGCTTTAAGAATTTACGATTTCTATCATAGACATCTGCTTTTCCATCATAGGTTATTTTGTATGATCTTGGACGGTTCTTATCTACTTCTACTATTCTTCCCGGTTTCCAAGTTTTATCTTTTTGTTGAACGACTACTCTTTCTCCCTTCTTCAGGTGATAAAGATCTTTTGATTTTTTGTTGTAGAAAGTATTCTGAATAATTTGAGTATTTCTATAGTGGTTCTTGTATAATTCGTTTTTAGGGTTATTATTTAAAAGATTTTCAGAAATAGGTATCAAAGTTTTTATTTTTCTATTGAATAGAATTTCAGCTGGAGAAGGCACTGATTTGTCCAAAGGTGTCGCTCTATATTCTAAAATGACTAAATACATATCATTTCCTTCCTCCTTTGCCTTTTTCATTAGTTTTTTGATCGTTTGTATATGTCTTTCAATTAGACCATTAGACTGTGGATAATTAGGAGTACTGGTGGTTATGTGTCTAATCTCCCACTCTTGCAAAAATGTTTGAAATTGTTGATTAACAAACTGAGGTCCGTTATCAGTGTATAAAATATCTGGTATTCCATTTCTTGCTAATATTGCTTTGAAATTTTTTATTACATTTTGACTAGTGGTGTTATTTTGGAGACAAATTATTTCTGGAAATTTGGAAAAAGCATCCACTATTATTAAATATTCTTTTCCATCAAAATGAAGAAAATCTGCTGCTAATATTTCCCATGGTCTACTAGGTAATTCTCGGTTGATAATTGTTTCTTTCATGTTCGAGTTTTGGAATTTCTCACAAGTATAACATTTTTTTATCACATCTATTATTTGATTATTAATGTTTGGCCAATATATTAATTGTCTTGCTTTTAAAATAGTTTTATTTATGCCCATATGTCCATAGTGTAACTTATTTAGTATTTCCTTACGAAGACAACTTGGTATTATTACTTGATCACCCTTATACAATATTCTTTTTATTTCTGTAATTTCAGCTCGAACTGACCAATATGGTTTAACTAATATATTTACAGCTTTTTTTTGTTCTGGCCATCCCTCTTTTATAATTTTTAATAACTCTATTAATTCAGTATCTTTTTGTGTTCCTTCTTTGATTTTATCATACCTTTGTGGACTTATCTTTGAATATTGTATTAGGTTTAAATGAAGTTCAATTTCTTTTTCTTTTAGATCAAATTGTTCATCATTGTAACTGCTTCTAGATTATGCATCTGCCAAATATAACAGTTTACCCGGTTTATATTTGACTTCAAATTCATAGTTTTGCAGATTTATTAATATTCTTTGTAGTCTGAGTGGGCAATTGTTTAATGGTTTCTTGAAGATTATTTCTAAGGGTTTATGATCAGTCTCCACTAAAAACTTTTTCCCGTACAAATAAAGGCAACTGGCAACCAAAGAGAATTGCAAGAGCTTCTTTTTCAATTTGAGCATATTACATCTGTGTTTCTGTTAGAGATTTTGATACATAACTGACTGGTTGTTCCTTTTGTAAAATAACTGCACCCATCCCTGATTTAGAGCTATCAACTGATAATGTGATTAACTCTTTTTCATCAAAGTACGCTAGTACTGGTTCTGTAACTAATAAATTCTTTAATTTGTTAAATTCTTCATCATGTACCCTTGTCCAATACCAAATTATATTTTTCTTTAGCAATTGTCTTAAATTGTGTGTTGTTTGAGATAAATTTGGTATGAATTTAGAAACATAAGTCACCATTCCTAAGAATCTGCTTAGTTCTTGTTTATTAGTTGGAATTGGAATTTCTTTAATTGCTTCAACTTTATGGATATCTGGTTTAATACCTTTTTGTGTTAGAACATGTCCAATATATTTTATTTCAGTTACCGCGAATTTACATTTTCCTTTGTTAAATTTTACTCCCTTTTCTTTGGCTCTTTCTAAAACTTTATTTAATATTTCATCATGTTCTTCTTTATTTTTTGCAAAAATTATCAGATCATCTATATAAATGCTTACACCTTGAATGTCTTTGAATACTTCTGTAAATGTCTTTTGAAAAATTTCTGGTGCACAAGCTAAACCGAATGGTAGTCTTAGAAATCAATATCTACCATATGGTGTTGCGAAAGTTGTTAATTTAGATGCCGACTCGTTTAGTGCAATCTGCCTAAAACCTTTATTAGCATCAAGTGTTGTGAAAATTTTTGCTCCATTTAATTTATGTGTCAGTTCCTCAAATCTCTCAGTTCTCTGTTTATTGCCTGATTCAAATTTTTAGGGTCTAAACATATTCGAATATTACTATCAATATTTTTCTTTACTAATACTAAGGGGTTTACGAATCCTGTTGGTTCACTAATATTAATAATTATATCGTCATTTATCATCTTTTTTAGTTCATTTTTTAAAGGTTCCATTAATTGAAATGGCACTTGTCTTGGTGGTACACCAACTGGAGTATAATTATCTTTTAACTTGAACTCATATGGCTCAATTTTTATTCATGTTTTTGAACTATTTCTTGAGTATTACATTGTATTTTATCCATTGTTCTCCTCAGGTGTTATTAAATTGAATTGAGCACGATTAATTAAAATTGTTGGCGGGTGTTATGTAGTTAAATTTAAGGAATAAGACGATGTTTAACACAAATTGATGATTGTCAAAATGTAAGGTGATTACGTTTTATTGGTATTAAGGACTGTTGCATTTTTTATGTAGGAAATTCTTTTTAACGTACTTAATTACTTTGTTGCATTTCTTAATAAAAATCGTGCCATATCACCGTTTTTATACGTAGTTTAAGAATTAAAAAATAGGGCCAGTTGAGTGTATTGTAAACATTTTGAATGTAGTATTGTTACATTTTACTTATTATACATATATCTAGTAAGGTGTTTATAGAATTTGGTGAATTTTACCATTTTAAAATAAAGTTTATCAAGCATTATTAAAATTATTGTTTTTATTCATTCAAACAACAGTTTTTACTTCTTACTACACGTATTATATCTAAGCACAATGTGGCACAAGAGGTCATGTTAATATTGAGATGGACCAGATAGCATACAAAAAACGCTTATTATCCAACCAGAGAACCATATTGATTCATTCCACCTGCGATATTACCACCTCGCCCAATGTTTTATTCAAATCAACCATTTACCAAAAGTCTAACACAATTACAACAATGTCCATTTAGACTTACATCAACAACAAAGAAAGTTCTAATGAGTTACTCTTGAAAACTCAATTAGATTAATGCGCCAGCTGACACTATTAAGAGTACGAGTACAACTTTACAGGTTAGAGATATTGTATTAAAAAACATGGAGAAGGCGTTAATGGATTGCATAAAGGACCGATATCAAAAACGTCCTTTTCTTTATCTGAAAAGAAACTTATTTTCATAGATTTGGATGATTCAAATCAAGAGACTCTTTACATAGTTTAAAGTTAAAAGGTGAATCTGGTTATACAGATCCAGCGCAAAAATATTCAACAATATTTGTTAAAATTCTTGCCAACTAATACAGGGTATCCCGTTAAGCGTACGGAGCGGCTGTATCTCTAGAACGGTAAGGCCAAGAGGTTTGGGAAAAAAATCCTTATAAGCAAAGTGACCAAGAGAAATAGCTGGAAATTATTTTGAAGTTCGTAATTCGACCGCTAGGGGGCGTAACTGCCATTGAGAAACATAAAGTTGCCGCTATCTCAGAAACTTAGACGATGAGCTATAACTTTGACAACATCATTTAATAGCTTGGATAATACCGCATCGCTTTTGTTTTGCGATATTTCTCATATCTGTCATAATAAGGGAGGGGGAGGCCAATGCGTTTTCATATGTTTACATTTTAATATCTCCTAGACCATTCAACCGATTTGAATGTTTTCGGTGTTGTTTGAAAGAGCATTTTATGCTCTTTTTAAAGATATTTTCAGTAAGACCGTCTGCTTTAAAACAAATGAGCTAGAGGACGTTATCTGCAGCGATTACATATTTTTGTGATTTTTGAAGAAAAGTTAAATGGAACGATACTATTTACTTCACAGACCCTTAGTCACCTTAAAATTTGCTAAATTTTAGTGAAAACCGCATCTCGATATCGCCACCCGTTCTCGAGTTATAGAAGAAAATGTTAAAAACTCGAGTGCCATCAATCGGATCCAGTTACCTCATCGAGAAAAACAAATCACATAACCATGGTAACTGTAAACATGTCATTTACTAACGCAGAAGCGTATGATAGAGCGTATGATGATTTATTTTCAATGTTTCGAATACGATGCAACTGCATGGCAAAAATGTGCAATGCAATTACGACAAAGAAAGACATTTTTCTCTAGAAGTGTTTTTAAGATTGACTTAGCGATTACGGAAAACTGGCAACGTGTAGCCCATTCAGACATCTCTATGAATTCGTAAATCACATTGGTGCGCAATGTGATCCCACATAATCTGGGAACTCCGAAAACAATTGTCCACAAGAGTTCTCAAGAGAATAATATCTCCACCACGTTGTTTTACATCAGGCCTTAACAGATACCGATTATGATAACAGACTGAACTATTACCATTGACTTTTAAATATGATTTGGGCAAATCCAAACCTTTTATCACAAATGCTATGGATGCATGAAGCATCTGTCCACAAGCTGATGTAAACTTGCATAATATGCATTCTTGGTTCGAGCAAAACCCACATTGCTTTCACCCCTTTATCTATTGGGTAGACTAAACGACCTGACTTTTCAAGAAAAACCAATAACCAGGGAAAATATGACAAAACACTAAATACCAGTAAAAACGTGTCCAGGGACGAGACTTAGCAGCGCTTTTTTTTCGTCGAAACTAGATTAAATAAATGCATCGAGGTTTATGTAAGGCATTTCGCACATTAGTGAGCTATTTTTGCCAAAAATTTAAGTTATTCTAAGTGTTTTGGTTTATTTTGTTTTATTATCATTGTTGATGTTTCATTGATCCGTTGGCTTTTCAACACGCCTCAAAAGTAGTTTTGAAGCAGTTCTAAGCTTGGATAAAGTGTGAAGGAAGGTTCTAGATAATAAAATTTTTGTTCTCTCTTATTTGTTTCCTAAGGTAACTTGATCCGATTAAGATATACGAATTTTTAACATTTTCTTTTATAATTCGAGAATGGATGGAGATATCGAGATGCGGTTTTCACTAATATTTAGCAAATTTTATGGTGATTAACGGTCTGTGAAGTAAATAGTACCGTTCCATTTAACTTTTTTTCAAAAATCACAAAAATATGTAACCGCTGCAGATAACGCCCTCTAGCTTATTTGTTTTAAACCAAGCGGTCTTACTGAAAATATCTTTTAAAAGAGCATGAAATGCTCTTTCAAACAAGACCAAAAATATTCAAATCGGTTGAATGGTCCAGGAGATATTAAAATGTAAACATTTGAAAACGCATTGGCCTCCCCCTCCCTTATTATGACAGATATGAAAAATATTGCAAAACAAAAGCGATGCGGTATTATCCAAGCTACTAAATGATGTTGTCAAAGTTATAGCTCATCGTCTAACTTTCTGAGATAGCGGGAATTTTATGTTTCTCTATGGCAGTTACGCCCCCTAGCGGTCGAATTACGAACTTCAAAATAATTTCCAGCTATTTCTCTTGCCCACTTTGCTTATAAGGATTTTTTTCCCAAACCTCTAGGCCTTACCGTTATTGAGATACAGCCGCTCCGTACGCTTAACGGGACACCCTGTAGATAAGGTAAAGTATTCAATTCTGTTGAGCCAGGGTTATTTAGAAAAAAAAAATCAGGGAACCAAATGGTTATTGGTAATGACCAATGGTTATAATTAATAAATCAAAAAATGATTTTTTGCGAAAAGCCGGATACCATATATGCGGTATCCCCTTCGGCCGGATATCCGGCCATTATGGTTATAACTTCTGGTGCATTTCTAAAGTGATACCCTACATTGCCACATTGATGTGATATTTGAATAAAAATGAAATTAATAAGAAAGCTGATAAGATATGTCAACTTATTTGAATTTAAGATACAAAATGAACTTTTTTGATGCTGATTTAACCACGATGCAACTCTAAAAAGAAGATACTTTAATTAATAATTGACGATATTTCCACAAGGATCCTTCAAGAAATGAATTTTATAGCGAATTTTGAAAGTTATCGACGAAAATTGCAACATCGAAAATTTTATCAAAACCTCAAATATTGTTTTCTCAAAAATTAAAGGTTATTTTTCAAAACGGGTTAGTTCATTGAAAAGAGCATACTTTTATTAACACTTTGGGAAATTTTCATACTCATATTTCAAGAAATCGATTTTATATGAATTTTTAAAACTTAATCGGCGAAAATTGCAAAATTCAAAAAATTGTCGATCATTTCAAAAATTTATTTCTCAAAAACTAAAAGTGATTTGTCAAAACGGCTTACTGCATTAATAAGAGGATACTTTAATTAATAATTGGTGATATTTCCACAAGAATCCTTCAAGAAATTAATTTTATAGCGAATTTTGAAAGTTATCGATGAAAATTGCAGCATCGAAAATTTTAACAAAACTTCAAATATTGTTTTCTCAAAAATTAAAAGTTATTTTTCAAAACGGGTTGATTCATTGAAAAGAGGACACTTTTATTAACACTTTGGGAATTTTTCATACTCATATTCCAAGAAATGGATTTTATACGAATTTTTAAAACTTAATTGCAAAATTCGAAAAAATTGTCGATTATT